CCTCCCTACTACTTCTTACCTTTCCCCCTCCCCCCCCCCCTACCCCCCCCCCCCTCCCTCCCTCTTCATCAGACTCTCTCGCTCTCTGACCCATCATCCTCTCCTCCTGCTTCTCCTCGTCCTCTGCCTTCCCCCTTCCCACCCTTGACCTTGCATTCTTGACAAATTGCATGAAACAGAAATGGGTTTACTCTCCATTACGACTGTTGCGGGGTTGCCGCCTTCTATCTGTATCCGCAGCTCATCAGGCCCACCGAGAAATGCCTGGCCATGTCGTCAAGAGTCTTGAGGGGCTTCTGGGGTCGGACAGGTTGTCATTCGGAGCAGCCATAAGGGAGCAGCATGGGAGAGACGAGAGTTATCATGCGGATGCTGATGGGATTTTCCCTCCTCAGGTCGTCATACTCCCGCGCAGCACCGCCGAAGTCTCAGAGATCGTGAAGATATGCAGCCATGCCAGGATCCCCATCATTCCTTCCGGCGCCTGCACCTCGCTGGAGGGGCACATAGCCGCGCTCAGAGGAGGTGTCGCACTGAACATGCGGGAGATGAACAAGATCCTTGAGGTCAATCAGGAGGACATGGACGTCAGGGTCCAGGCAGGAGTCACACGAATACACCTGAACGAGTACCTCCGCGACACGGGTGCTTGTCCTACTAGCCGCATGCTGTCAGGTCTGACTGACGTCCCTCCCGTAGGGTTGTTCTTTCCTATCGATCCTGGTGCGGACGCATCGATCGGCGGCATGCTGAGCACACGAGCCTCAGGTCTCGATGAAGCTTAGTGGAAGCGAGTTGACGTCAGGTTCTGTGCAGGTACCAATGCAGTGCGGTACGGAACCATGCGGGACAACGCCCTGAGCCTGGAGGCAGTGATGGCTGACGGCAGCATCATTTCGACGGGTAAACATGGCGTTGCCGCACCTGCCTTCGTCTTGACATGTAGCGATAAGGGAGCAGGGCAAGGAAGAGCTCGACGGGCTACGATCTCACGAGGCTCTTGATAGGTTTCTTTGTTCCCTTGAATTCCATGTGATCACGCTGATTGCATCAAAACCTGGTCCGCTCCTGCTGCTGCTGGGCCTCCTCCACATCGACAGGATCTGAGGGAACTTTGGGCATCATAACAGAAGCTACCATCAAGCTCCACGGGCAGGTTCACGTCATGCAACAGACTCGCGATATCCCTTGATGTGTGGCTGCTCGCAGCCGGAAGCAATCTCAGCTGCCGTCTGCGAGTTCAACAAGCTTGAAGGAATTCAACATTGACATAGCACCTTCAATCTGAGTTTCTTACAGATTCTGTCAATGCTACCATATGCATCATCCAGGTTTGAACTCAGTGCGAGGCGTCTCGTCCCCCTGTTCTCATATCAGAGTGCAGAGTGGAATACCCGTAGCGAGAATTGAACTGCTGGACGAGAAGACCTGTGCTGCTGTCAAGGCGCAAAGGTAAGCTCTTCCTCCTCCTCGTCTCGTCTCTTTCTCATCTGCAGCTGGCATCAGTAAACTAGAACTTGAAGCGAAACCGACATTGTTCTTCGAGTTTCATGGTGAATCATGGAACTTCCTGCAAGCCAGTCCTCACCAGCTTGTCAATGACAGGCTCCAAGAGTTCAGTGGAGGAGCAGGCAGTACGGGTCTGATTTGACTGTGTGTCTGCATCTGCCAAGTGATTCATTGATTTGCAGGCAGGGGAAATCTGCAAGGACTTCGGGGGCAGTCGCTTCAAGTGGGCAGGATCGGCAGAGGAGCGAACAACACTGTGCGACTTTCCTCTTGCTGCTAACACTACCTCATGTGCGAGCAGGTGGAAGGCAAGACACCAGGCCTACTACTCCATCATCGCCCAGAGGCCAGGATGCAAAGTGAGAGGGAGGACGCTGCTGTCGGAGAGTCTGACGACTGTGACAGGGGATGCCCACTGACGCTTGCGTGCCCATCTCAAGACTGGCCGAATGCATCGAGGAGACCGAGGGTGACATGGTTGCCTGTGGACTGGTGCTGTTTTTCCTCCATGCACATCATGACCCTTGACTGTTTGTTACTCACTTGACCAGGCTGGTTCCATCCTTGGGCACGTCGGGTACGATCTCAAGTAGCATAGGGAGTGAGGTCCGAGCTGAGGGCTGAGCAGGGACGGAAACTTCCACTGCATCCTCGTCCTCGATCCCAACAACCAGGACGAGATTCATGTGACTTGCTCAGCATCTTTTCCTGCCCCTCTTGGATGTCTGACGGACCGATGGAGCAGGCTGCTCATCAGTTTGCTGAACGGCTAGCGCGCCGAGCGATCAGGATGGGCGGCACCTGCAGGAACGTTGCTGCCCTTTTCGAGTCCAGCCCATTTGGCTGAGTGTGTTGCTGTACAGTGGAGAGCATGGAGTTGGCTACGGGAAGCTGAAATTCATGGAGGAGGAATACGGGCCTGCTGCCATCGAAGTCATGCGGAGTATCAAGGTAAAGCCAACATTAGAACAGTCTCTCGTTCAAGTGGTTCTCACTGAAGATCTTGTTCGTTTCAACAGAAGGCGCTTGACCCGCTGGGGATCTTGAATCCTGGCAAGATGGGTTCGTAATGAACCGTCTTCGATTGCCGGGCAGCTCGGCCGGCTGCTGACGGATCGCATCACTGAGTCACGGCCAGCCGTGCCAGTCAGATAGCGCCAAGTTAACAAAACTATCCTGTAAACCAAGACGACCCTTACGTGTTTCAAGTTCGAGGCGGCAATGTAGTACGTGTGATGAAGAGGAGGCCTTCCTAGCCGTCTTGCTAAGGTCCTCTCATGTCTGGATGCTTGGGTTTCAAATCCTAGCATCCAGTGTACTCCTCAATTCTGGTTTCGTGAGCTGCTCATCACTACAGTACTCTAGGTATAAGGCATAGTATACCGGGCCGGGCCTGCCCGCCGAGGCCGCCGGCGGCACTGAAGCATGCAATGTAACTAGTAAGTAAACTTTGTACCGGGATCATGGGCCTGTAAGCCACTTTCCGGGGGAGTGACCTCTTGACCTGATGGCGGTTATAACGGGTACGTACCAGTGAGTTTTTTGAGTGAGCCCATATAGTGAAAAAGATTATTGTATGTTTCAAATATTGGAGAAATATTTGAGGTGAAATATCTGAAATCTGCCTAATGTTTTAAAAATTGTGCTACATATCCAGCGTCAACTTGCAGGACCCCTGTATCCCCTTTCGCTCGAGAACCCCATCAATTGATCTCAGAAAGTACCCTTCTCTCCCTATGATACAACCACCCCACCCCGTACCTCACTTCAAGACGTAGAAAGGCTACGAATTGCAGTCTGTGAAACACGAAGAGACACTTTTTCGCGATGTTTTACTATTTCCTAATACTGGCTTTTATTGCCTTCTTGTCAACGGGTCATGCGCGACATGGGAGCGATCCGCTACCCGTTTTCTTCTCCACTGCTCTCTCACTTTCCCTTCATCTTATCCCCTCTCATCTCCTCTCCCCCTCCTGCACTCCTCTCCTTCTCTCTGAGCTTGAGCTTGCTTCATCATGATCTATGTGTCCCATTCTTCTCCTTTGGTGTTTGGGGTACCTCTCCCTTGCTTCCCTTGGTGCCTTGTCTTTCCTTTGTTCCTCGTTTTTTCATGTGAAATAGTCCAGCTTAGCCTCAGTGTCTTTTGACTTCAAGAAACTTTGTGTATAGCAACAAGGACTGTCTTGGAATTGCTCTGCTGCTCGATTCGTACAGTGATGTTTTGCATTCATAGTCTTCTACGTCCATTCCTCGTGACACAATCCCAGTATGCCATATGTTTCAACGACCTTCTATGAGATGCTCACTAAAGTTCATCGCGACGACCCTTCACATTCTTTTGATTTTGTGGTCTTCCTTGTATATGTATCCCTCATCTGAACATCTAAGAATTTATCCTTGCACGCTTTGCTCATGCTGAACTTTTTTTCACAGCCCTTAGTTCAATTGTCACGGTCAATAGGTTGGTGAGTCAGAGCTCATGGGTTGTGGAGCATCGACAACATCAGCTCATGTTGGGCTACATCCAGGGGAATCCCGGAAGTCTGACAACGTGCTTGTTCTGCACGTGATTGCAAAACAGAATTTGGCCGGATGGGTCGGCAAATGGATTGTTCCGCCATTGTTTTGGGAGACGGGGAAGGAATGTTGTCATGAGGTTTCGAAGTATCTTCGTCCGATCATGTACAGGGACGGAGAGTTTGTTTTCCATACGGGCGATCAGGGAACTACCATGTACTTTGTAAACTCAGGCGCGGTGTCTGTACAAATACGCGGGCACGAAGTTGCACGATTGCTGCCTGGGAGCTACTTCGGCGAACTTGGCCTGATGCTTCAAGACGGAAGGAAGGCTGATGCTGTTTGTGATGGAGACTCAGAGCTTCTGGAGCTTGATCGGCCGGATTTCTACCACGTTCTGGAGAAACATCCGATCCTGGCAGGGAAGATGTACGATAACATGAGCGCTGAAGTCAAAGCTCACATCAAGAGAGCAGCAGAAGAGACTGCAGTGAGACATCACCAACATCTCGATCATGCAGGAGAAGTTTGACCTCGTGGTCTCCAGGCTCACCAGATGTCCAACGCTCTCAGCAACGTGTCCAAGGGAATCGCAGACGGGGAGCCCCCAGATGAGGCTGACGATGCGGAGCTTCTCGAAGCCAACGAGCGGTCAGAAGGGTTGCTCCATCAATGTGTGCTGGCTGACAAAACTCTCAAGGGCGTTCAAGGCGAAGAAACCCCAAAAGAGTTGGCTCACGAGATCATTGAGCTCTAGCAGCCCCAAAGGGTATGAGAGGGATAGTTGAGGAGCAGCTTCGTCTGATGTGCTGAGCAGGAGCTTTCATAATGGCATGCAGCTTGCAATGACGTTCATGCAAGTGAGTGCTTGTCTCGTCTCGCAGTCTCTCTCCATCCTCACGGGATCTTGTGCAGGCGACAGTGAAGAGTGGTGTCCTGAACGACCGCAAGCAGAATGGTCCAGTGAATGTCGACAAAGAGAACGCTAAGTGCGGACCATGGCAACTCATGGGGGACTGAGAGCTCTGACAAACGTGACAGGCCAGGACTGATGGTGTCTTTGAACGTCGAGTCTTATCTTCAGTCAGGAAATATCAGGTGGATCGGACGGACTGTTAAGACGGCATGCTGATAGAGAGAGGGACGCAGATTTCCGGGAGACGACGGTCCTGGGGCCCTTTTGGAAGATCACTTCGGGGACAAGTGAGCAGGAGAGGAAGTTCAAACTTGACGTTCTGACGGGCCGCCAGGACGATGTGGAGGGTGCGCTGGCTGCACACCAACTGCTGGGGAATCTACAAGACGGTACCTCCCTCCCCGCTACCTCCTCTCCGAATGCTCATGCAAGCCGCAGGGTCATGGAGGAGAGTTCCACCTCTGGGTCGGCACCGATCAGGTCAAGGAGCCGTTCGACTCCGAATGCTTCTTCAGGTCCGTCCTTCCTCCTCCTCTTCCTCCTTCTTCCTTCTCGCCCTCTCCGTCCGCTCACTTGTCCCCATAGCAAGGGGAGGCTCCCCTCGTTCTTCTTCTGCACCCCCGCCGTCGAGTCGGCGAACGAACGGAAGGCAAGGATCCGACGATGCTCACCCTTTCTCACGTTGTGCTCAGGTGATCTATGACACCTCTTCTCCTCGTAGCAGAATCTTCCTCCCCGACCCAGCCAGCCCCATGGTCCCGGGCCAGTGAAAACTGTGGTAGTGCTTTCTCCGACGTGTACATTATCTGATATTTGAACGAATGAACTTGAATAAAATCTGCTATGATACTGCAAACTCTCCGTCGTCGCTTTCCTTTCTGCGAGGAAGAATTATCTTGATAGATCACAAACAACCTGACAAACATCAAACTCAAATTACTTGTCTCAACCTGCATTCTGTTCAGCTAGCAGTAATGTAATTATCTTCACTACTGAGACCATCTCAAAACCTGTAGTCAATATTTCGGAAGGCAATGGCCCTGTGGAGCGGCGGGGCAGGGGGCAGGGGAGGAGGAGGAGCGAAGGAGAAGGGGAGGGGGACGAGCTTGATGGCTGAAGGGATCAAGCATGTGTACAGGTGATTTTGTGTCTGAACGTGGCGAGTCAGCAGTCTGAAGCAAGCCTTGCTACAGAATAGACAAGCTGATGGTTGGGACTTTGAACTATCAGGCTGCGAGTTTCCCTTCCCATCAAGACGGTAGGTTGCGTCCTTCTGTGTCATGACAACCAACCTTGCCTCATTCATCAGGACCAGCCAAGAAAGCAAGATTTTCTTCTCCTCATGGCGTCGCATCGCGCCCTCGGGGGACTGGCTTGATTGTAGTTCATGTTCATAGCGAGAATGCACAAGTTGATCGCAGATATTTGCAGGTGACTGATCCAGGAAACAACGCTGTTCGTCTTGTGGACTTCAACACTGGAGAGATTTCCTCCCTGAAGCAAGGCCTTTGGCGAAACCCAACAGGGATATGCGCCGTGTCGGATGGTGTGCAGGGTGCTGGTGATCTGATGCCGATTCAAACTGAGCGCAGGATACGTCATCTGCGATACTGGCCATCACCGCCTCGTGCATCTGTCACTTTGCGGGCAGAATGCGACAGTGTTAGCTGGGAGCGGAAGATCTGGTCACATGGATGGGGCTTCAGGGGTGGTACATGCCCAGCTGTGTGTGCTGTTCAGACTGAGACGACATGGCTTGATAGGCGATGTTCTGTAGCCCTCAGGGTGTGACCTGTCTTCGAGACGGGTCAGTGATCGTTGCAGACACGGCAAGACATGCTTCCTTGGGCTGGCTGGCTGCTGATGCTGTGCAGGGGAACCATGTTCTTCGGCACGTTGAGAGGATGAAAGTAGTGACGATCGCTGGATCTGTTGGAGTGCCGGGGTGTGCGGACGGTCTTGCACATGAAGCAGAGTTTACGGTGAGGAGGGGAGGAAAGAGACGATGGGGAGATGAATGAAGGGATGAGGAGATGGAGAGATGAGGAGTGTGGGACGTAGAAGATGATTGTAAAACAGGAGCCAAGAGCTGTCTTGGCAACCAAGGACGGGAACATCTTGATTGGAGATAGCAACAACGGGATCAGGATACTATCTGCTGACTTGAAGTTTGTTCGAACGCTTGTGAGGGGAGTCAAGAGGTGTTCTATTTCTGTTTGTGTCAGATCCTGTGTGGTTGACTGGAGAACACAGAGGAAAGAAAGACGGAGCCACAGACAAATCGTTGATGTCAAGTTGTCTTGGGATGTGCGAGGCCAATGATGGATCGATCGTGGTGTCAGATGCGGGGAACCATTGCTTGAGGAGAGTAGAGCAATGATGGTTGCTACAACAAAGACGATAATGCAGATGATGATGATGATGATGATGATAATGAAGTTGATGACGATGACTATGCTGATGGAGATGATGGAGATGATGATGTTGATGATTGTGGTGGTGATGGTGATTAGGATGATGCTGCAATGACAATTTATACAGGGTGGTCGATTCTGATCTGATGACAATGTCGACGTTAGCGGGGGATTGCGACAATGCCCACAAGGATGGCCTCGCGAATAAGAGTTCCTTCCATGTGATTGTGGTGGTCCTGTGGCTTCTGTGACGGTCATCAAGGAACCCTACGGTGTTACCTGCCTTAAAGATGGAACCATCTTCGTCGCTGATCGATGCAACCACGCGATCAGGTAACGTTCCTGATGTTTGCATGCTTGTCCTCACGCTTGAACTTGGTTCCTGCCCCTCCCTGCTAGCACGTTCCCTTCACTTCTTCACCTCCTCCTCCTCCTCCTCCTCCTCCCGCTGTACGCTGCTCGTCCTCTTCCTCCCACCTAACTCCTACTTCGTACCTCGTGACCCTACCTCCTTCTCTCCCCTTCCTCCTTCTGTGCTTTGACATCACTTGCAGAGTCCTTCAGTATGCCAACGGGCATGAGTTGTTGATCTCAAACTCCTTGAAGATTCCGCTCAGTAGGTCGATCCCAAGTGACCCACTCAAGCCGAACTCTCCTGGTACACCATGAGGAGTGGGGGACTTGACAAGGGTAGAAAGCAACGAGACCTGACAATATGCTTTCCCTCAAGGAGAGTTCAATGGCTCCCACATCAACGTGCGAGTCTTGGATGCCTTCTTGAGCGAAGACAGCTCTTCCGACACCGACACTGCGCGGCCGGTGAAGGTAACTTGATCCGATGTAGTTCATGTTCTCGTTCATGACTTGTTACAGAAAACATCTGCTGTGGATCGCTCGCATGTAAAGGTTATGCCGGGTTGTTGCTTTCAACGTCGTCAACGTCTGAGACAGGATGATCAATCCCGAGAGCTGTCAAGATCATACCGCAGCAATCCTGCTTCTCCTCCTTCTCCTCCTCCTCCTCGTCCTCCTCGACCCCCTTCATCTCCCCTTTCTCCTCCTCCTCGTCCTCCTCAACCCTCTCAGGTCTCTGTCTCTTTGAATCGCTGTACAGGTAGTGACATTTTTGCAGAGTGTGGAGCATGACGACAGTGACGGCCATGATGCTGAGCATCTGACGGTAATGGCACATGAAGTGGAGTGATCCTGCCTTGACTGATTTGCAGATGTTCATTGCAAGGAAAGACAAGCTAAGATCTTCGAGAAGAGATGGATTGACAGTGAAGAAGAGAACTGTGAGATGGGAGAGTTCCGATGAATCGAACGATGAGATGGTGTGGGCGGGACATGACAAGGAGAACAAGAACGTGCATGCAGTGAGCGGGAGAGCAAGCAACGACGAGCATTTGAAGACTCTGAAAGCGAGAAATGATGGGGCTCGAGGCGACATCTTGGACCTTCTAGGTGATTTCTTTGTGTTGAGAATGTGATGCTTGACACATCACATGCGATGAGGATGGAGTCGATGGTGACGATGATGATTGTTGTGATGTCAGTGATAATGATCGTGGTGTGATCACATCATTTTGTCAAAGAGCTTGCAAGATGTGATCAGCATGCAGACGGAGTCGTGGAGGCGAAGGACGGAGGCTTCATGTTTCTTGCTCGAGATCGCCTGGAGGTGGCGCGAGCGTCGCTGCAGCTCGAGCTCAGCAAGAGGACGGGAGAGATAGAGAGGGGGGCAGGGAATAGGAGTGGAGAGATGTTCGAGGGAGCACCAGCACCTGCTGAGAGGAGGAAACAGGAGAAGGACGTGGAAGAGATCGTGAGGAGATTTGACAAGCTTGAACGCGACTTGTCCGGCAAGGGACTCCTGGAGATGGACGAGGACGAGGACGAGGGTGAAGATGCATATCAAGATGTGAAGAGCAGCAAACAGCAGAAAAAGGGCCCGAAGGCAGGAGAAGTGAATGACGTGATTGGAAGCGATGTTACCAATGACAAAGATGAGGAAAATCGCGTCAAGACAACTAGATCGAGTTCTCGTCGAGTTGAAAATGAGAGCGGGCGGACTGAGAACGCCAGTGACAG